GCACCTCTCAGGAGAACAGCTGGCGGAGCACCTGTCAGGAGAACAGCTGGCGGAGCACCTCTCAGGAGTACTTCATGGAGATGGCTGCACTGTTGTGGAAAGTTAGAGTGGGCAACCTCTTGGACTCTGCTTGACTTTAATTCTATAATTCCATGACTTTTTGATAACAGTTCAGATACTGTTTACCATAGCCATTGTTGTTATGTGCCGTCGAGTCAGTTCCAACTCATAGCGACCCTGTATAGAGTTTCTGAGGAGCAGCTGGTGGGTTTGAACTACCGACCTACAGCACTATACCAGAACTCTACCATAGTAATTAGTGAAGTGTAATTTCCAATGAATGGAGTCCTGGTGTGGCGCTGTGGGTTAATGTGTCAGACTGCAAAATCATTTGAACTGCAAGGTTGGCAGTCCAAACTTACCAGCTGCTCCTTGGAAACCCTATACAGGGTTGCTATGGGTTGGAATCGACTCGGCGGCACTTACAAAAACAACAACAATTTCCAATGAATAATTCAAGGCAGTTTTACTAGACATATTCAAGCATGTAGCAAGTACACACATTATTTTCGACACGTTTTTTCCTTCAGGTTGAGCATTTGCTAAAAGGAGTTGAATGAAACAGAAGGCTCTCTCCCAGCACTTGTATGTTTCTTTTGTGACAGAGCAGTGACTGAACTTGCTGTTGTCAAGTTCTCTAGAGACAGTTGTGACTTAAAGCAACCCTCTATAAGGTTTCTGAGGAGCGACTGGTGGATTTGAACTGCCAACCTTGCAGTTAGCAAGCCACTGCTTATCCTACAGCGCCACACCATTGAACACAAGAGAATATTATCTAAAGATGCTCACATAAAAATGTGAAGCAGGAGTTTTGAGGCACCCTTAAAGTCTTGGATAATTCCAAATGTTTTTGTTTGTTTAACTACAACCTCAAAAATAGTGAACAGATTTGAAATGTACTTAGTCACACGTTTATAAGCACCATATTTTTTCTCTTTATTTTTTCTTGAGAAAAATAAAATAATCCAAGTATCAGAAGCAATCAATAGGGAGAGAACTGAGAAGAGCATTGACTTTCAAACAAATAGAAACAGAAGTAATGAAACCAGAAACTCAAGCATCGAATAATGTGGCAGACAGGAAGGAGGCCTGTAACATTTTTAAAACAAAGCAGATATGATAAGAAAATCTAATAGGCTTCGTATGATAATGGCGGACGGATGTAGTGTTCAACTTCAGAGCATTCCAAACACCGGAGTCAGACAGTGATAAGATCTGGCTGCGAATCAATGAAAATGCTCAACCAGTGTCGCCCGGAATATATCAAGATCCCAGTTAGGAGAATGCTGCTTTCTTCTCTCTGATACTGTTTTCATAAAGCTAGCATCTCAGGTTAAGGTTAGTGATTAATCTTAAAAGCCACAGTTTATCTAGAACTAGTTAAAATATTTTTGGATTTGCTTTTAATCTAATAAAATATTACCTGAAAAACAGAAGTCAGCTTGTTGACGTCACCTTTTGACGGTTTCTTAGAAGAGACACACATGAAGCACAGGTGCTCTTATAACCGGGGGCCCCATCTGCCTGGGCCAAACACTGGCTTTGCCATGTATTAGCTGTATAGCATTGGCAATTTACTAAATTCTCTGTACCTCAGCTTGCCTTTCTGTACAATGGGGATAAAAACAGCGACTACCTCATTTAAGAATGTAACCAGATGGAAGCACTTAACGGAATGGCTGGCACATGCTACCCCAAAATGAAACCAAACCTGCAATTGAGTTGATTCTGATTCATAACGATAGGGTTTCTGAAACTATAACTCTTTACAGGAACGGAGAGCCTCATCTTTCTCTGGTGGAGCAGTCGGAGGGTTTGAACCACTGACTTTGCAGTTAGTTGTTAGCCCAACGCCTAATCCATAGGGTCACCAGGTCTCCTTAACAAATGTTTTTACTTGTTTGTCTAACCAATTACTCTATCCAAATTTTTAAGTTTTATTGTCCTAAAAAAAAAAGATTTATAAGTATATGAGAGAAAAATATAGAGTAAACAAATGGATAATATGAAATAAATATTAAATTTCTTGAAGAAATTAGGTTGTTTTGTTTCCTCCAGAATTTTTAAGCCATTTAAGATAACTAGAAGCTCTATGGCATAGTGGTTACGAATTGGGCTGCTAACCTCAGAGTCAGCAGTTCGAAACTACCAGCAGTTCCGTGGGAGAAAGATGAGGCATTCTGCTGCCGTAAAGATTTACAGCCTCAGAAACCCTGTGCAGGGTTGCTGTGAGTTGGAACCGCCTCCACGGCACATAACAACAACAAGAAGTAATTGTTGGAACATTTGTTGTTGTTGTTGTTGTTACATGCCATAGAGTCGGTTCTGACCCATAGCAACCCTGTACAGGGTTTCCGAGGAGTGGCTGGTAAGCTTGAACCGCCAGTCATGCAGTTCCAATGGCTTTGCTGTCTAGTACATTAACCCACAGCGCCACACCAGGACATTTAGAGTCCCAGGATTCAAGTCACACTGATGTTATATTAAATGAAAGCTTTCATTTTTCAAAGAGGGTAGCATTTGAATTATGGTGATGGAGAAGAATATTGAAAGAACAAAGAATCTGTGTTGAAAGAAGCACAGCTAGAATGCTCCTTAGAAGCCAGGATGGCCAGACTTCGTCTCTCATACTTTGCACATGGTACCAGAAGGCACTAGTCCCCCGAGAAGGACATCATGCTTGGGAAAGTGGTGGTGGTGGAAGCGATGTGCCATGAGGTTGGTTCTGATTCACAGCAACCCTGTATGGTGTTTCCGAAGCTATAAATCTTTATGGGAGCAGAAAGCCTCATCTTTCTCCCTCGGAACCACTGGTAGTTTCGAACTGCTGACCATGATATCAGCAACCTGACTCGTAACCACTACGCTACCAGAGCTCCTTTGGGAAGGTGGAGGGTCAGAAGAAGAAGAAGGAGACTCCCAAGGAGATAGATTGACACAGTGGCAGTGACAGCGGGTTCACACGTAACAATTGTGAGGATGGTGGCAGACTGCGCAGTATTTCATTCTGTTTGACTCTGGTCACTGTGAGTCAGAACCAACTCTATGACAACTAGCAACAACAACAGCCTCCACTTCATTATATCAGAAGGGAATCCCTGGCTGATGTCAACGATTAAGCATTTGAAGACTAGTCAAGAAGTTGACGGTTTGAACCCACCCAGAGGCACCTCAGAGGACAGGTCTGGCAATAGGCTTCTAGAGAATCAGCCGTGGAAACCAGTGGAGCCATCCGACTCTGCACACGTGGAGTTGCTCTGAGTGGGAATCATGCAACTAACAACAACAGAAAAGTCGGTATGTCTGAGTTGTTTACTCTTCACAGCAATTACTCTCCAATCAGAGCAAAATTTTAGTGCACTAAAAGATAAGGGAAATTATTGGAGGCAAATAGAATTGAAAGGCATTATCTCAGGCTTTTGGCATTCAGTTGGTTGATCCAAACTAAACCCAGAAGAAGCTGTTCACTTGCCTTTCTTTCCTTCTCCTTGTTTTTATAAAAGATTATCTAGTGCTGGTATTTTAAATTGTGCATACACTGTCTGGGGGATAGGTGAGAGCCAAGCTTTGAGATCTCTGCAGACTTTGCAGTTTCGTTTTTTTCTTTGATATCTTTTAAACAGAGGAACAAACTGCTGAGTCAGTATTGCTAAGTGTGAAAGAACTTTGAAACTGACCAGAGGCAGGAGAACCGGAGGCCTATCTTGTGCTCAGGAGAGCCCAGCAGGCTGGCTCTTCCTACCCATGGTTCTCCCTGACCAGTTGGCTTTTGTTTTCTTGGGTTCAAGCACATGCCTTCATGCTGGCCAGTGCACCCTTGGGATACAGGGATGGAATGTAGGGGACCTCTTGGCAGTGGAGTGTTCTGGGCAAGGCCTGTGGCCGGGAACACGCAGCCTGCCTTGGGCATCTTCTGCAAGAGTCTGATTCTGAACGAAACCTAAGCCTTGGTCTGCAGAGCCCCACAACTGCTTCCAAGTCACTGCTCCTGCTTCTTCCCTTCCACCTGCAGGATTAACCTCGGCTTCACGTGTTCCCACCAAAATGTTAGGACCTCATCTTTGGCATCCAAGAAATGGCTAAGAAACGGCAGCAGCTGTCCAGAACATTGTGTGGAGGGGAAACAGCCCAGGCTCCCAGCCCAGCCTGCACTAGGCTTAAGCGGGTGTGAACTCTCACGGCCTACTTTTCAGACCAAATATGCTGTATGTTAAGGCCGGCCAGGCGTACTGTTTGTTAGCTTTGGTGGAGTCAGCCTGCCATTGCAACCTCATGTACAATGAGATCACGTGGGTTTGTACAGACTGATTGTCAGAAGTAAAACGCCAGGTCTTTCTTCGTAGTCTGTTTCAGTCTGACAGTTCCACTGAAATGTGTCCAGCATTGTTGTAGAGTAGTGACAGAATCTGCTTAAAATTAAATTTAGGGTTTACTGAAAGTAAAGAGCTCCAGCTAGGAAAAGGCCGGATTCCGGAGTGAAAGTCAGTCCCTCTAAAACGGCAAACCAGTGAAGACATCATCATGGCGTGCGACAAATGACCTGAAGTATACGACTTGATTGTAGTTACTGAGATGACCACAAGGCAGGGCTTTCCGAAACGGGGTTCGTAAGGTGGCACAGGTTTGTAGAGCACACATGTCTTTCTTACATTGCTTGCTGTGAGGAGATTTTAAGGGTCTGATCACAAGGGTTAGTGATTGTCGCTCAGACCAGCTTCAGTTTGAAGTCCTTGGAGATGGAAGGGTCAGCTGTTGGGTTAAAGGTAAACCTAGATGATTATAGAACAGAATTTCCAATAGTGGATCATTGCAATGACTGACGTAAGACAAAATCATTTCCTGAGGACATCTTACAAGACAGGTTTAGTAAATGTTTGAGCAGTGACCCTCAGGGAGCATTCCGTTTGACCTAATCACAGCAGAAACATTTCTTAGGCTGCAAGATTCAAGTTATACAAAGTTTAACTTAGCCAAAGGGCTCTGGCTCAAACCTCAAGCCAGCTGTTTCCGATTTACCAGGTACCTTGGTCTTAAAAGCCTCAGAGCAACACACATGCCTCTAGAGGGGAGACAGGTAGTGGTGGTCCATGAGATGTATTGGCCAGGAATTAACTCAGGTCTCCTGGGAGGAAGGCAAGAATTTCACCACGGAATCACCCTTTCCCCATTGTTGTGCTGCTGCTGTGTGTCGTAGACTTGGTTCCAACCTTGTATAGGCTACCTGAGGCGGTAAATTCTTATGGGAGTTGAAAGCCTCAGCTCTCTCCTGCGAAGCGGCTGGTGGATACAAACTGCTGGCCTTGCGCTTAGCAGCCCAATGTGTAACCCACTGCGCCACCAGGGCTCCTTTTGCCAATGCTGTTGTTGTTAGGAGCCATCGGTACTGACTCATAGTGACCCTATGCAAAACAGAACAAGACACTGCCCAGTCTTGCACCAACTTCACAATCATTGCTACGTTTAGGTCCATGGATGCTGCCACTGAGCCAATCCATCTCATTGGGATCTTCCACTTTTTCTCTGACCCTCCGCCTTACCAAACATGATATCCTTCTACAGTGATTGGTCCCTCCTGACAATATGTCTGAAGTATGTCTGTTGTTATTGTTTTTGTTGTTAGGTGCCATTGAGTTGGTACCGACCCATAGCGACCTTATGTACAGCTGAATGAAACACTGCCCGATCCTGGGCCAACCTCACTACTGTTGCCACGCTTGAGTCCATTGATGCTGCCACCGGGCCAATCCATCTCGTTGGGGGTCTTCCTCTTTGTCTCTGATGCTCCACTTTATCAAACATGATGTCCTTCTCCAGCGACTGGTTCCTCCTGACAATATGTCTGAAGTATGAGGGACGAAGTTTGGCCATCTTGGCCTCCAAGGAGCATTCTGGCTGCACTTCTTCCAAAACGGATCTATTGGTTCTTTTGGCAGCCCATGGCACTTTCAGTATTCTCCTCCAACACCATAACTCAAAAGCATCAATTCTTCTACAGTCTTCCTTATTCACGGTCCAGCTTTCGCATGCAGACATGCAATAATGTAGAAACCAGTATTCACAGGAGTCATGGTGGTACAGATGGTTAAGTGCTCATCTGCTAACTTAAAGATTGGCAGTTTAAACCCACCTAGGGGTTCCACAAAGGAGCTCTGGTAACATAGTGGTTATGAATCGGGCTGCGAACCACAAGGTAGCAGGTTGAAACTACCAGCTGTTCCACAGGAGAAAGATGAGGCTTTCTGCTCCCATAAAGATTCACAGCCTCGAAAACCCTACGCAGGGTTACTGTGAGTCGAAACCGACTCCATGGCACATCACCACCACCACCACCAGGGGTTCCACAGGAGAGACACTTGGAGATCAGCTTTCATAGAGATTACAGCCAGGAAGACCCTCTGGGCAGTTTGACTCTGTCTGATGGGATCACGATGGGTCAGAATCGACTCGATGACACCTAAAAACAACAGCATTCACAGGACAAGAGGTTCCACTGGGCTTTGACATGTTTGGTGCTTATAAAAGGCACTCACAACACTTACACAATTGGTCTCACTGCAGGAGACACTGGGTGACTATATGGCTTCATGTGATATTCAACAAATAACCAGAGGTCTGACTGGAAGTCTCCATCAGACATGCTGACAGAGATGAGACACTAGGCCCAAGTGCCTCGTGGCTCTCAGGGCTGGGAACGCTGAGAGAAAGCCTTACTGTGGCTCAGGGTCCCCAGAACCATCTGACTAGAGTGTATTTCCACTGCTTTTTTTTTCCTTTGGTTTTTCCCCATGAAAAGAAAATGAGGTCATTTACGTGGCCCTACCTGGCTGACATTGCAGACTCTTGTCTCTATGTGATTGCAGGCATGTTGAACTACTGTGACAGATACAGTGACGGCATGAGACGTGTCCTAAAGACTTTTGGACCCATCCCAGAGTTTTCCGGGGCAACAGTTCAAAAAGTTCATCAGGTATGCAGACTCATGGCTAAGAGTTCTGATGGTGGAGAGGGAGCACTTGCAGGCCCCTCACCAGTGCCACCCGGAGCCTTCACACTTGATGTTGATAGTTCCTCAGCCCTAACTTTATCTATCCAGGGTCCTGTCATTACCAGAGTTGTTACCGGAGCCCTAAGACCACGTGACTAATGAATCAGCTCATTTTGTCTTGGTCGCGGGATTTAGGAAACTTGGGTTCATTGAAAGCAAGAGGACAGTATGTGTGCACAGGAACAGCCACTGCGCTCCTCCTGGAGCTGATTTTATGAACCCCTATTTGTCTTTTCATCTTCCAGGCCATGTGTGAGAAGGTGCCTGCTGACCCTAAGCACTTGGCTGCCAGAAGGAAGTGGCGAGACAGATGTCTCATGAGACTCTCCAAGATGAAACGTGAGATGCCATCCAAGTGAAGTTCCTGGAATGGTCCTGCCGCGCCCCCAGTGAAGATCCTCGCTGTGGAATAAGAAGCTCTTAATCAAATCTCTAAAGCAGTTACAAGCCACACAGTGAGGCTTAGCATTCAAATTCTCCACTTGATTTCCCATGTTTGCTGGATTTTATGGTAAAGGCTCATGGTTGTCCATTGGATCATGGGTCTGGATTAGGTGTGAGCTGTGTGGTCACAATCGCACATGGTAGCAGTCTGCAGATGTTCCCCCCTAGGGTAACATTTATATCTAATTATTGGAGCTTCATTTTAGTTTGATCTATGTAGAAAAATATTTTTATAGTTACTTTCCAATCCTTCCTGCATACTCTGTGGTTCTGCATGCACAAGGTCATCACCTTCATTCTGTTAATGCTTATTCGGAATAAAAGTTTTTGATTCTGTCAAGATGTCCTTTATTCCTGATAGTTCGGATAATGACAGTGTTTTATCCTGATGAGTTACATATTTTAAGTGACCGTGACCCCCAACCAGGTGGATTGGCACAGTGGCAGCAACCATGGGCTCAAGCGTAGCAGTAATTGGGGGACAGCGCAGGACCGGACGGTGTTTCGTTCTGTTGTGCAGCGTCTGCTATGAGAACCGACTCAACAGCTTCTAACATTAATGAGTTCTATACAAACCCTATGCGCTGAGTTAAAAACAACAACAAGAAACCCAGCCAGTTTGAGCTAGAGTTTCCCAAAGTGGGTTCCATAGTGCCCTTGTTGTTTTCTGGTCAGAGATGTTTTCTGGTCAGTAGATGGCTACACCATCACCATCTACTTCCCGGCCCTTGGAGACTCACATGTATGTACATGTATTAGCCAGGGAAAGGCTCCAACACTCTGCAGTGGTGGTGGAAGTACGCTGTGGAGTCGGTTCCAACTCATGGAGACCCTGTACAGGGTTTCCGAGGCCATAAATCTTTACAGGAGCAGAAAGCCTCATCTTGCTTCCATGGAACCACTGGTAGTTTCAAACTGCTGACCTTGAGATTAGCAGCCCAACTCATAACCGCTACACTATCAGAGCTCCTTAACATTCGGCAGTAAAGATGTCTATTTAACTTGGCTTAACCCAGCATTCCATTAACTTATGTGACTTGGAGCCTCTTCTGACCACTAGTCCCCAAAGCCTTCTGGGAAATGCTAGCAAAAGTCCCACTCCTTGTGAAGTTGCACACCTCACCGATCATGATCATGGGATGTACCTGCAGGTGCTCAGGCACCTCTGAGCCCAAGGGTCTCTCCAAACTTTCCATGTCAGAAAACTGGCATTCAGTGTTGGCCTTCCCTTAGGGCCAACCAAGGTTGTTCTGGATTTGGAACCAAATGGAAATGGTTTCTCCTTGAAGCTGAATTTCAGTTCCTGTGTGTGTGAGAGCACATTTTGTCAGAGCCATGCCTCCTTACAACATGCTGAGTGGCTGCTGTGCACCAGGCTTGTGCATGTGACCCTTTTTTTTGAGAAGTTTTCTGACGACGACATACAAGGTTGTCCTAAATCAGGGTTCATGCTCTAGGGAAATCATGGACAAAAGGAGCCACTACTGGTAGACTGCCTGATGTGCCCTGGAAGTCTACTTAGTGACTTTGGAACTAGGTCTTGAGGAACAAGCAGGAGTGAGGCAGACATTCATAGTGGAGGGAGTAGAGTGTAGAAAGGTGGCAGAGTGTTCTAGCAAGATGTGTCGCTGTGACCTCTGTGGAGCTGACCAGGCCAGTGAGTTGGCCTGAACTGAAAACAGTATCTGTAAAAAGCAAGGGTACACCGCTGGAACAGCGTGTCTGAACCTTAATTCTGACAACAGGTGCTGGGCTAGAGGCAGGGACTTTCTCATAAGGAGAGAGCTGATAAGTCAGCGAGTTCAGAAAGCAGCCTGGAGGTGAAATAGGCATTAGTACTCCATGGGAAAGGTGATACCAATACATCCAAATGTTCAACTCAGGGGACTCTACAGACACTGATGACATTTGACAAGATACGGAAATTAGGAGGAAGGGCATTTGAATATTCCAAACCAGAAAATCAAACTCACTGCCACTGAGTCGATTTTGACTCGTAGTGACCCTATCTAGGGTTTCTGAGAGCCGTTGGTGTGATTAGTAATCCAGTGCTTATCCTACAGCGCCACACCAGTAGTAGCAAGACAAGTCTGGCAACCTAGTTCTGAAAGTCAGATGACGAAAACCTTATAGATCACAATGGGCTGACCCCATTGTGAAAAGGAACAGACCAGATGACAGTGTACAACAGCCACAAGCAGATCATTAGGAGCGTTTTACCCAACAAGGGTCCTTGATGTCATCTGTGTACACTTCAGAGACTCCTTACACTCATGATGCCATCCCGCATCTCTATGACTTACTGACAGGTGGTCTTCACTACATAGCGGTGGAGCCCTTGCTTTCCTTATCATTTCCAGCTCCTATTAATTCCCGTCAACACACACCCCTTGATTTTCCAGCTCAGAATCACTGCACTATTCTCGGTACTTCTCAAAAGAGCCTGCCCTACACACACAGGGTTCAGGTGAAGGTCATTAATACCTGGAGGGTAAGTGCAAGGGAGCTCCACATACCCATCAGCCCCAGGGAGTCGATGAGCCCCTAGAGTTCAAGAGGTCAAAAGGGGCCAATAGACCCTGTCTAGCCGAGGCAGGGCTGTTCTCCCATGTGGTACAGAGCCCCAGAGCAGGGGCTCGCTCCTGTGTGTGTGTCAGTTACTGTCCTCCGCTGTTGCCAACAAGCATTTAGTGTGGGTAGGAGGCATCCTCATCTGTGTGGATTCTGCTTGTAGCAGTTACATGCATAATGAAAAAGAGCCACGAAAGTGACAGGGTCAGAGAAAGCTGGGAGGCCAGGGTCTGGTTCTCTTCTAAGAGCTGAGAAAACTAGATCTTTTGAGCTGGAGAAATGCAGACAGTGCATCTGAATGGCCCAAACCAGAAAATCAACTTCACTGCCACCTCAGGAAGATAGTTATTGGAACAACTGGATGGAGTCAGGCATTGATCCAACAGAGAGCTAAAAAGAGGGTGTGGTGCTGTGGTTCAGCAGTTCAAACTCACAAGCTGTTCCTCAGAAACCCTATACAGGGTCCCTATGAGTTGGCAACAACTTGACGACACTCAACATCAACAACATGCGCCTGAAAGCCCAACTACACACAACACCCAGATGGCCACGTTCCTTAAAGACACATTGTAAAGCTTGGAAGTCACAACCATTGTGAGGCCCATATGCCCTTTATTTAAGTTGTAGTCTTCTAACCTAACTACCTTTCATGAATTCGGCAACTGTATACTTCAACATACTTTCTGCACTGAAAATGTAAGTGTTGGGGCCTAGATGCCTGAGGAAATAGACTCATTCTTTAAAACTCTCTGAAAGATTCATGCCTCAGGCATAACTGGCCTGCTGCTGCCTTTGTACTTGTTAGGAATTTCTTTCCATTCCTTCCCTAATAATTTGTGTGCCCTCTGCAAAGTGCTACCAGCCTGGGTAGGCCTTCAGGAATCCCATTGCTTCCAAAATACTCAGGCTACTGTGGCACCTAAGATGATTTTTATGAGGTCTAGGAATAGACATTTTTGTTTTACCTTAATATATTTATTTTGAAATGCATTAGAAAAATATAACTGACAGGTATAATGCATCAACAAATTTCTTACCGATTATAAGTAAACAATTATTTGGTTGATGTCCTCTTTCTGTTCCAGCATCCGATTCCAGGACACCATATTGCATTTCATGGTCTTGTCTCCCTATGGTCTGCAACAAGTTTTCTGTCTTTCTTTGCTTTTCATGACTTTATATCTGTGTTGGTCTGATGCTTTATTATGATTAGACTGGGGTTATGGGTTTCTAGAAAGAAGGCCCAAGAGGTGAAAAGTCCTTCTTGTCACAGTTGTGAAGGGTCATTTAAAATTGTGGTGCCTGGCATAACTTATATGACAGACTTCTTCTTTAATTATACTTTGATCTTGTGAAATGCTGTCAAGTCGGTTCCAACTCATAGCAGCCCTGTTTAAGGTTTCTGAGTAGTGACTGGTAGCTTGTCCTTAGGTCTCCTTTCTGCCTTTGTAAGAATAATGGTGGTGGTTGTTATATGTCACCAAGTCAGTTTCAACTCATAGCACCCATGTATAGGATTTCTGAGGCTGTAAATCTTTGTGGCAGCAACTGGTAGACTCAAACTGCTGACCTTGTGTTTAGCAGCCCAGCTAATCATCCACCATACTACAAGGACTCCTTTTTAAGAATAGAACCTGTGATGTAGATAGAGCCTGAAAGCATATAACTTCTTGTAGAACTTAACTACCCTCATCAAATAGTGGAGGGTTTGTGAAGAAATATTTGCCAGGAAAATATTTGTCAAGATGGTCACAGGAGAATATTTGTACAATATGTTCTAGAAAAATGTGTATGTAGCTGTTTCCAAAAGCTATCTGCTAAGGGTGGATCCAAGAAGCCTATGTTAGAAAACCAATTCGTTAACCTTATAGAATTTTAACTTACTATTGCCTTATGGAGGGAGTCCTGCTGGGGTGGCACTGGGGGATAATACACTGAACTGCAAGATCGGTTTGACTGCAAACTCAGCAGTTCAAATTTACCAGCCACTCCTTGGAAACCCTGTATAGGATTGCTATGAGTCAGGACTGACTCGAAGGCACTTAACAACAACAACAATTGGACAATGGACAAGCCAACCTTTGGAGTCCTGGTGCGGTGCTATATAGGATAACACTAAACAACCAGGTTGGTTTGAGTCACAAGGTCGGCAGTTCAAACTCTATGCAGGGTACTATGAATTGGAACTGACTCTGGCACTTGACAATAGTAGCAACACTGTCTTATGGCTATGCCAACCAAGCCCCCATGATTGTGGTCAAATACTGCTGTCCCCACTTTTCTATATACAAGCTCATCTCTCCCTCAGAATATCAGAACACTTACTACTTTCATGTTGTACCCT